GGAAACGATGTCCTAATGTGTTGTTCTTTCCTTTTGATGATCAACAGTTATTTTCTCTTCTTGAACGAACTTCCAATTCTGCAGTCGATGTCAAGCCTGATATGGTAACTGTAATTACAACTCGACTAGGACTTGTTTTGTGATCGAAATATACCAATTTATAAAAATATATCTTACAAAAACGTGGTTGTTGTAATCAGTACAACCACCGTCAAAATTGCCTGAGACATGTCACCACTAAGGTACTTTTCTTTTATTTCCTGCACTGACATCTTTTTGCTGATCTCATCTATTTCTTCAAGTGGATCATGGTTAATAGATATACCTCTCAATGTTTTAGCTCCGAATAACATTTCCTCAATCTCTCTATTGTCCAATTCCATTGAAAGTTGAAAGATATCCAAAGCTGTTATGCCCATGTTGTTTTTGGCATTTACCTTCATCTTCATAATCAAATTTTTGCTTAACAACAATTTCACAGCCTGCACAAGAGTAATAAAGGCATTAATTAGATAGTTAATATTAAACCTTCAATTCATATATAACTAGAAATTAAGATTGATTTCTAAAGTGCCACCATTCTTAATGAGAATTAAGATGATAATGTTGGTTCATTAACAACAGATGCTGTTAATATATATGAAAACAAAACAAAAAGGTTTGGGTTTTATTAATTTATTTATATTGGATGAGAGACTAGCCTGAGTTTGATTTTTGGATGTGGCCATATGCAAGACGGTGTTGCCATCCTTGTCTGGCCAATTTAAGATGTCTTCCTTATTGACACCTTTTACCCATCTGACCAACACTTCAAAAATTCTAAGCTTGTGGAATTTTAGAGCAATATGAATTGTAGTTTCTTGTCTGGTTGTTAAATCCTCAATAGAATTAGGGGAAGCCAATAGAAACACTTTCAAGAGATGACCATTTTCCATAGCAACTGTATAATGCAATCTGGGAAGCCTTTTTCCTCCCCTTCTCGAGCCAAACGTGCAATGGCCTCTTCATTCGGTGTGCGTTGGTACTGTCCTGCATACACTGTAATTACAGCATCACAAAAGCACTTCAAGCTATCAACCGCAGTGGTTTCTAAATTTTTTATGTACTCGTTACAAAGATCCGCCGAAATTCCATATGCGAGTATACGTATTGTAGCTGTCATCTTTTTTGTAGGAGTAAAACACCAATAGGACCAAGGGTATTAGTCTTCTGGATGAACCATTCGTTATTTGCTATAACACTGTTTAAAATGCAAACAAACAGACTCTCGTCACATCCGAAATCGTCTACAAAACATCTTAGGTAAAAAATGGGAATTACAACAAAATAATCTTGGAATAGCCGCTGGCTAACTTCTCTCAATCACGTTTAATATATTTTCTCTTACGACATTGAAAGAATGCCTTTATCTTCTCAGGTGATAACAGTTGCATCACCGCATTCATCCTTTTTCGACGTTTTTCAAAAAAATCTTCCCCGGCAAAAGATGAAAAAGAACTCAATGGAGAAATTGACCCGGACACTGGAATAGATTGTGATGATGTAGCCATTTTTTTCTATAATAAAGATAAAGACTCAAAGAAGAGAAAATGAATTTGAAAATGTAAAGAAGTGCACTTTATAATTGAAAAAAATGAGAGAATGAGTGGTTTATATAGTCATTGAGAATATAGTTGTTAAAGGAAAAACAAACAGAATATAGCCGTTGGAAATATAACCGTTAGAAAAAAGACAAATATAATATAGCCATTAGAATAAAATAAACATAATATAGCCATTGGGAATATAGCCGTTAAGAAAAAGACAAACATAATATAACTGTTAAAAAAATATATACGAAACGAAACAAATAATTTATGGCCGTTGAGAAAAAACAAAGTAATACAACCTTCTGTTTTAAAAACAAAAATGGTACTATTTTTTTTTTTTATTGCCCTTTTTTGTTATTCTTTTTGTGTGTATTTTTAGTCTTTTTTATTTTTTTCAGTAAATGGAAAACCATTTAGTTCAGCTTCAGGAAGATGGAACTTCTTCATCCACGCCAGGCCACCAAGAAATACTTGAGTCATCAAAAACTACAGGGTCATTGTTGTTGTATGACCCTTGGTTATTGTCCAACCATTTCCTCCTCCTAACCTCTGAAAATGATTAGCCAAACAGTACATGTCGAAGCAAGTCATGAAGCATCAGAAAGAAAATTAGCCTTGCCAGAAATAGTATTTCAATGCCATCCTCATCACCACCAATTTAATCCTTGCTCGTTAGAAAAGATGACAGAAAAAAAAGAAAAGAAAAATCCATTGTTTTAAGACTTCCAAATGTAAAAGAAGTAGAGTATTACTTAGTACTGGTCCTGCTTTATACAGGGTGTTAAGAGGAAAGACTAGAAACTAGTAACTGCTCTCCCAGTGAAACTTGCATTGTCATGCTTCTCCATCCAAACTTTTTATCGTTAAAAAATTGTCCTCACAAATCATGTTTTGCTAATAATATCATAATATTCCAAGTCTATTTTAAACATCTCCAGCTCTTAAGTTTTAGGTCTTCTTTGGTCTTATTTATATTATTTTTGTTAATGATACATATTCAAATTTAAAGTCAAAGAAAGGAAGCACCAATGGAAGTTCCAAAATCAAACCTAAGGGAGCAGGTTTTTAAAGCAGCTGGTTTAGCCATTGCGGATGGCAAATATACTACATGACAAGCAGTTTCAACTCGATCATTAGGTTTTGATAAAGCTCTCTGCCATTTGTTCTATGACTTTACATGTTTACTACTTCCATGGGCACTTTGTTGCATAACGATTGTGTTTTACGTCGGAGTCATGTTTGCTTGCATGAAATCTGAATATGATATTAGAAGAATTGCTGGGTCATGGTTGGCTGACAGCATGTTTGTAATCCTGGCTTTTGAGGTTTGGAACACTCTTTCATGGTTACTAAAAGGATTTCTCCTTCAATTGAATGGAAGGAATAAGGCTGATTTTTGTTACAATAAGTCCATAACAATGTGTTAAAAGGATTTCTCCTTCATGAATTCTGTTCTTTTTACTTTGGATTCTAAGCCAATGAGGAAGAAGCACTACACCAATGCCTGTTATCTTTGCCTCTCTGATGCAGAGTCATTGGACCATCTCTTCTTCAATTGCAGTTTTAGTGCACATATTTGGGGGTTCATTCAACATGTTGCAGGATTCTATGTGGAACCAAGAAGTTGGGGAGAGTTAATTTCTTGGTGCTCTAGTACATGGAGACCAAGACAGTTCAATATTCACAAGTTGCTTTTCAATGCTGCAGTCTACTTCATTTGGCTTGAAGGGAATGCCAGGGCATTTAGGAATAGAGCTGCAACACCACAACACATCATTTGCCTTATCAAGTGTTGTATCCGAGCTAAACTTTCACCATTGAAGCTGAAACGAGGTGCTGAGCTCAGACTTTTGGGTAAGGAGGAGGATTTGCTGCAGCTTTTTATGCAGGGATGTGTCTTTGCAGGAAATCACACTTGGTGTGCAACCTCATTTGCTTCAGTACTGGAGTTGAAAGATAGGATTGAGGGTATTCATAGTTTTTCTGAGCATGCTCCTGTATTTGTAGAGCTTGGCCTTGGCCAATTGTGTGTTTGTTTTGCCTTGTGAACTGGTTTGCTTGTTTGCTCCAGGGCTCTTGCTTCGTACATTCTTCTTTTTCTTTATAAAGCTTACCATTTAACCCAAAAAAATTAAAAATTTTTTGTTCTTTTTATGTTTGAAATAACTTTATTTTGCTATAATGCTTAGTATTTTATCAACAAGCGTTGCTGTTTTCAGTGTGACAGCAGAGAAGTGGGTTCCCATTATAGAAGTCCCAGTAAGTTCTGTGAAAATTTTCTTGGAGAAAAAGAAGCGAGAGGGTTTCTCCATCTTGGGTTTAGAGCAAACGGCAAACAGCATACCTCTTGATCAGATAGCATTTCTAAAAAGACGGTTAGCCATAATTGCTATATTTATGTTCAATTAGTGGTCTTTTTTTGTTTTTGGTGGCTTTTATGGAGTTTCTGGTGTATATTAATGAAATTATCTCCAATTAACCATACAAAATAAATTCGAATCTTTTAAATTTTATCACAAGTTTTGCTTGCTTCATTTTTGCAGGGCCTGGTTCTTGGCCTTGAAAAGGAGGGTATACCCGTGGAGCTAATTCACATTCTGGATGCTTGCCGGTCCTGGTGTTTAGCGGTGAAAAGGAGGGTATACTGCAGAGATAATCCACATTCTGGATGGTTGTATTGAAATCGCACAATTGGGAGTTGTTAGGTCACTCAAGGTTTATGTTTGTGGAGCCATAGCACTCCTGGAGTACATTTAAGCAACAAAGATCCCCTTATGGCTGTATTCCCAACATGAGATTTGCATTTTAACATAACACAAAGGGAGCTTACCCATTTAAAATTCCTTAGCTGTCTAACTTGTAATTATGGATCACAGAGCAGGGTCTTCGTTATCCCATGTATTTTCACACACAGAAGGCCTTTATGCTTTCGATCTTTTGCATTTTGTTTCTTGTTTAAAACAAATGGAATGTTGGTTGAGAAAGAACCAAAATTTCATGCTTTACCAGTTGAAGCAATCCAATAGTTCGACTGTTTATATGGAAGAATGTGGCATGAAAATTGGTCTGCTGTATGGCATACACTTGAGGCATAAACCCTCACCTCCCCTTTGAAGTTGGAAGTTATATATATTACTCGCGATAATTGATCTGTATTAGACTCATGATCAGTCATAATAAATTATAATTAAGCTTCTCTTGAATAGAATGAATCTCTCTTATTCAATGTTGTCATGAAAGTAGTTTGTCACCTCCAACTGGTTGGTTATTCTAACTTGTAAGCAAATATTTAATAATTAAGGTTGTTAACTCTTCCTTAACTATGAAATATTTAAGGATGATGATGACAATAAAGGCGCACACACTACACGATCAATAGAGAGAGAGAGAAGAGAGAGAGGAAGAGATGGATTGTTATACATACAGCATATATAATTGTTATTATGATGAAACAAGGATTGATGGCTTACAATAATTATACATGGAAAGCTTAACAATAAGTCTAGTTGTTGTTACTCATTCATTAAAAGGAAACAAACATATAATAATACTACTAGATCATCTATTATTATGCATTAATAGGAAACAAACATGTAATAAACTATTATGGTACTTGTTCAAATCCTGTGTCCCCAAGACGGAACAAGTGGTTCAAGGAAGCCAAAAACAGCTTGCAGAGTGCAGATAAAAAACAAGAGTTCAGTAACCGCAGTGAGAGCTTCATAAAACAGGGATCCGGAGTTGAAGGATAAGGTGGACAGGTGAAAGATGACATAGCGACAATAGTTGGCGTGGATAAAGAGTTGGAGTATTTTGACTAGCAAATTGGCCTTGAAGTGGCGACGGATTGTGGTCATGGACCAATAAAACAAGAAACTCTTGGACAAATAGAAAGCAAAGGATCCAAGGGTGTTAATTTGCCGTAATCTACCGGAACGCCGGAACACAGGCTCTAACGCGGACGTTGCAATAAATGCGGCCGCCGTCATTTCAACTAAATGTAGGAGTCGCTGCACATCATCTCGTGCCAACAAGAACTTCATTTCCGCTAGCACTGGATTATTGTAAATAAACATTTCGCTCAATGATTTTTTTTCTCCTCCCCTGCGTATCATTTCCTCAATCTCTCTGTTGCTTGATTCCATTGAGGCGATGTCGAGAGCTGTTAAGCCCATTTTGTTCTCCCGATTTATCTCCATCTTACTAATCAATTTTTTGCTCAACAACAATTTCACAGCCTGCACAGACAAAAAGTGGATCAATTATTAGCAACAATTAAACCTTACAATTAAGGCTATGGTCCAATTCCATTCATGCTACCGAAACATAGCCTCAAAAAAAAAAAAAAAATTTCTGAAAGAGAGCAACAAGTTGAAGATGATCGATGTGGTGTTGGCCCATAAATCATTATTTTGTTGTGTACATGATCAAAACAAAAGAGAATTCTAGCCTCGGTTTGATTGTTGCGCGCCGCCATATGCAAGACGGTGTCTCCATTCTCATCGGGCCTGTTTAAGATGTCTTCGTATTGGATCTTCTGTAAATATCCCACCAACGCCTCAAAAATCCTAAGGTGGTTGTGTTTTAAAGCAACATGAAGTACAGTTTCTTGTTTAGCTGTGGAATCTTGAATGGAGCTTGGGCAATCCAACAGAAACAATCTCAAAAGATTTTCATTTCCTTGAGCAATCACATAATGCAAACACGTCATGTCATCATCCCCTCGTCTTTGACGGACCAAGGTGCTATCAACGGAGACGAACCAATCCACGATGCCATCATGCCCATTCAGCAGAGCAACGTGGATGGGGCTAAGCCCGTCTCGGTTGAACGCCCTGGCATATGATGGCTTCAACCTCATCACTTCTGCGGCAAACCGAAGGTCACCTGTTGATGCAGCCACATGTAAAGGAGTATCAGCAAACAATTCACCATCGATATTGCGCTCCAAAATACCTTGATACTCTATAATCAAATTATGCAGACGTTTGGTGCATCCCTCCTTAGCAGCCTTCTTCAACCTTTCATCCATTATATAAGATAGCTATATATATATATATATATAGACGGGCAGTTCGGAGTGGATGAAGAAGATAGCTTTTAAATGGAAAGGATGACAAATCTGTATGTCAATTGAGCATTTTCTCCTCCCTTCTCTTCAAAACGAATCAATTGGGGTTTTCTTTTACTTGTACAATCAATCAAGGTAATGGCGGTGCAGCTTCCATCCGAAGATCCCTAGAAGCTTCCTCGAAAGACAAAGAAGAAGTCCTATATTTGAAAGGTAAATTACGCTGATTTGGACAAATTTTACACAAATAAAATATTTACAAAATCTACTACTTTAACTTCTCCTAAAATTTAATACTTATGCTCAACGACCCCCTTCTATTTTCTCTCCCGCATAACTGGCAAGGAAATTTCATGAAATGGCTAATCTCATTATGTTCTTTTTATTTTATTATATATATATATATATATATATATATCTACACACACATGCATACACGTATATATCTTTATTCTTTTTTATTTTAAACCCAAATGCCCCCACCACTTCACCGTCACCCACCTCCATCGCCTCTCTCTCTCTCTCTCTCTCTCTCTCTATATATATATATATATATATACACACACACAGTTATTCTTTTATAATTTTATTTTGAAACCCACATGCCCCACCGTTGTCTATTTGTGTAAGGTTTGTTTAAAGAGGTGGTCAGTATAATTTACTATTATTTTTAATTAAGTTCAGTAAGTATTTTTTTTTTTTTTTTAATATTGCCCTTTACTTATTTATTTATTTTTATCGTGCCTTTCCGCTATACAAAGTTGTAGAGATATAAAAATTAGATATAGGAAAAAGACAGGCCATTTTTGTTTGTCTCATTGATGATTCGGTCACAGTTTTGTCGACATATGTCAGATTGTTGTTTGGCATGAGTTTCTTTCCTCCGTGTTCTCCAAAAGAGGTATAGTTTAGATGGGGTTTTATTGCTTCACAGTATTATTGTCAGTTAGAATCACAGTATAGAGAGCAGAGCAAGGAATAAAACAAATGGGTGGCCTACTATTTTTTCATTATTAGTACATGGTGAATAATTGTTGAAAAGGGTAAAAGAGGAAGTGTGTTGGTAATAAAATTTTGTTGAAATTTATTATTATTAGTATTTTTTTTTATGAAAAGTAGGACTTCGTCCTCGAATGAAAAACTTATTTTAAAAGTGGGACTCCAAGAAAAGCAACATGCAGATTCCCATTATAAACCCGGAAACTTCCCTGGTTAAACTTTGTCAAAAAGGCCGGCCATCAACTTAGTCAAGGTCGTCATGCAAAGCCAAAATAGTTGCTCCCACTTCTATAATTTATTTTAACTTTTTAAAAGAGGTCATGTAGTGGAATCATATATGAAAGTATATGAAATTTTCCAATTCTGAGACCATTGCTTCACAGTATTATTGTCAGTTAAAATCACAATATAGAGAGCAGAGCAAGGAATAAAACAAATGGGTGGCCTACTATTTTTTCATTATTAGTACATGGTGAATAATTGTTGGAAAGGGTAAAAGAGGAAGTGTGTTGGTAATAAAATTTTGTTGAAATTTATTATTATTAGTATTTTTTTTTTATGAAAAGTAGGACTTCGTCCTCGAATGAAAAACTTATTTTAAAAGTGGGACTCCAAGAAAAGCAACATGCAGATTCCCATTATAAACCCGGAAACTTCCCTGGTTAAACTTTGTCAAAAAGGCCGGCCATCAACTTAGTCAAGGTCGTCATGCAAAGCCAAAATAGTTGCTCCCACTTCTATAATTTATTTTAACTTTTTAAAAGAGGTCATGTAGTGGAATCATATATGAAAGTATATGAAATTTTCCAATTCTGAGACCATTGCTTCACAGTATTATTGTCAGTTAGAATCACAGTATAGAGAGCAGAGCAAGGAATAAAACAAATGGGTGGCCTACTATTTTTTCATTATTAGTACATGGTGAATAATTGTTGGAAAGGGTAAAAGAGGAAGTGTGTTGGTAATAAAATTTTGTTGAAATTTATTATTATTAGTATTTTTTTTTATGAAAAGTAGGACTTCGTCCTCGAATGAAAAACTTATTTTAAAAGTGGGACTCCAAGAAAAGCAACATGCAAATTCCCATTATAAACCCGGAAACTTCCCTGGTTAAACTTTGTCAAAAAGGCCGGCCATCAACTTAGTCAAGGTCGTCATGCAAAGCCAAAATAGTTGCTCCCACTTCTATAATTTATTTTAACTTTTTAAAAGAGGTCATGTAGTGGAATCATATATGAAAGTATATGAAATTTTCCAATTCTGAGACCATTGCTTCACAGTATTATTGTCAGTTAGAATCACAGTATAGAGAGCAGAGCAAGGAATAAAACAAATGGGTGGCCTACTATTTTTTCATTATTAGTACATGGTGAATAATTGTTGGAAAGGGTAAAAGAGGAAGTGTGTTGGTAATAAAATTTTGTTGAAATTTATTATTATTAGTATTTTTTTTTATGAAAAGTAGGACTTCGTCCTCGAATGAAAAACTTATTTTAAAAGTGGGACTCCAAGAAAAGCAACATGCAGATTCCCATTATAAACCCGGAAACTTCCCTGGTTAAACTTTGTCAAAAAGGCCGGCCATCAACTTAGTCAAGGTCGTCATGCAAAGCCAAAATAGTTGCTCCCACTTCTATAATTTATTTTAACTTTTTAAAAGAGGTCATGTAGTGGAATCATATATGAAAGTATATGAAATTTTCCAATTCTGAGACCATTGCTTCACAGTATTGTCAGTTAGAATCACAGTATAGAGAGCAGAGCAAGGAATAAAACAAATGGGTGGCCTACTATTTTTTCATTATTAGTACATGGTGAATAATTGTTGGAAAGGGTAAAAGAGGAAGTGTGTTGGTAATAAAATTTTGTTGAAATTTATTATTATTAGTACTTTTTTTTATGAAAAGTAGGACTTCGTCCTCGAATGAAAAACTTATTTTAAAAGTGGGACTCCAAGAAAAGCAACATGCAGATTCCCATTATAAACCCGGAAACTTCCCTGGTTAAACTTTGTCAAAAAGGCCGGCCATCAACTTAGTCAAGGTCGTCATGCAAAGCCAAAATAGTTGCTCCCACTTCTATAATTTATTTTAACTTTTTAAAAGAGGTCATGTAGTGGAATCATATATGAAAGTATATGAAATTTTCCAATTCTGAGACCATTGCTTCACAGTATTATTGTCAGTTAGAATCACAGTATAGAGAGCAGAGCAAGGAATAAAACAAATGGGTGGCCTACTATTTTTTCATTATTAGTACATGGTGAATAATTGTTGGAAAGGGTAAAAGAGGAAGTGTGTTGGTAATAAAATTTTGTTGAAATTTATTATTATTAGTATTTTTTTTTATGAAAAGTAGGACTTCGTCCTCGAATGAAAAACTTATTTTAAAAGTGGGACTCCAAGAAAAGCAACATGCAGATTCCCATTATAAACCCGGAAACTTCCCTGGTTAAACTTTGTCAAAAAGGCCGGCCATCAACTTAGTCAAGGTCGTCATGCAAAGCCAAAATAGTTGCTCCCACTTCTATAATTTATTTTAACTTTTTAAAAGAGGTCATGTAGTGGAATCATATATGAAAGTATATGAAATTTTCCAATTCTGAGACCATTGCTTCACAGTATTATTGTCAGTTAGAATCACAGTATAGAGAGCAGAGCAAGGAATAAAACAAATGGGTGGCCTACTATTTTTTCATTATTAGTACATGGTGAATAATTGTTGGAAAGGGTAAAAGAGGAAGTGTGTTGGTAATAAAATTTTGTTGAAATTTATTATTATTAGTATTTTTTTTTATGAAAAGTAGGACTTCGTCCTCGAATGAAAAACTTATTTTAAAAGTGAGACTCCAAGAAAAGCAACATGCAGATTCCCATTATAAACCCGGAAACTTCCCTGGTTAAACTTTGTCAAAAAGGCCGGCCATCAACTTAGTCAAGGTCGTCATGCAAAGCCAAAATAGTTGCTCCCACTTCTATAATTTATTTTAACTTTTTAAAAGAGGTCATGTAGTGGAATCATATATGAAAGTATATGAAATTTTCCAATTCTGAGACCATTGCTTCACAGTATTAATGTCAGTTAGAATCACAGTATAGAGAGCAGAGCAAGGAATAAAACAAATGGGTGGCCTACTATTTTTTCATTATTAGTACATGGTGAATAATTGTTGGAAAGGGTAAAAGAGGAAGTGTGTTGGTAATAAAATTTTGTTGAAATTTATTATTATTAGTATTTTTTTTTATGAAAAGTAGGACTTCGTCCTCGAATGAAAAACTTATTTTAAAAGTGGGACTCCAAGAAAAGCAACATGCAAATTCCCATTATAAACCCGGAAACTTCCCTGGTTAAACTTTGTCAAAAAGGCCGGCCATCAACTTAGTCAAGGTCGTCATGCAAAGCCAAAATAGTTGCTCCCACTTCTATAATTTATTTTAACTTTTTAAAAGAGGTCATGTAGTGGAATCATATATGAAAGTATATGAAATTTTCCAATTCTGAGACCATTGCTTCACAGTATTATTGTCAGTTAGAATCACAGTATAGAGAGCAGAGCAAGGAATAAAACAAATGGGTGGCCTACTATTTTTTCATTATTAGTACATGGTGAATAATTGTTGGAAAGGGTAAAAGAGGAAGTGTGTTGGTAATAAAATTTTGTTGAAATTTATTATTATTAGTATTTTTTTTTATGAAAAGTAGGACTTCGTCCTCGAATGAAAAACTTATTTTAAAAGTGGGACTCCAAGAAAAGCAACATGCAGATTCCCATTATAAACCCGGAAACTTCCCTGGTTAAACTTTGTCAAAAAGGCCGGCCATCAACTTAGTCAAGGTCGTCATGCAAAGCCAAAATAGTTGCTCCCACTTCTATAATTTATTTTAACTTTTTAAAAGAGGTCATGTAGTGGAATCATATATGAAAGTATATGAAATTTTTCAATTCTGAGACCATTGTGACAGCTATCCGGGACCCCCAGCACTTGCAATGCAACATCAGTATCTCTTCGGTAAGGGATGTTTAGCCAACGTTTTTATTTTTTACTTTGGGCTTAAAACGTCTTGGACCCGCAGCAGTGAAATTTGACTTTTCGCTCAACTTGGTTGTGTCGTGGAAAAGATTGAGTTTGACAAACTTGGATTATGGGCTAACCCATGTCCCACGGTCCGTTCAGGAAAAAATTCGGGGAAAAATCAGTGCAGGTCCCCCTTAATTATAAACCCGGAAACTTCCCGGGTACTCGTTGTCAGAAAGTCCTGCCATCCCAATTAATTTGCCTGAGTAGCATAATTGTCAGTTCACACATGGAGTTAAAAATTAGATACTTTTGGTGAAATTGTCTTGAAAAGGATTAAGTGCCGACCCAGTGCCACCGGCCCACACGGTTCATAAAATAAGTGCAGATTCCCTCATGAACCCAGAAACTTCCCGGATAATCAGTGCCCATCCCAACTAATTTTACATTTCGAGAAAAAGCAGTCAAGGTCGTCATGGATGGAATGCACAGCATAATAGTAGTTGTTCCCGCGGAACCAATTCACACATTGAGTTAAAAATTAGATGCTAATATAGGATATCATGTCAAATGAAAAAAGAAGGGAACAAATTTCATTGTTTATATTTGCAAAAACAATTAAAACTCAAAAAGATACCATTAAAAAAAATTTATTTTTAATTACCACTTAAAATACAATTCTTAATTTTTTTAGTATTTAATTTTTAATATTATCAAATAACACCTTACTAGAAATAAAAACAACATACTATTTAGCGCAAATATCCAAAAATAAAATAATGTTACTTGGTAAAATTAAATATTAAGTAGTGAAAATTTGAAGACGTGACTTTTAAATGTTAATTAAGATTATTACGTGTGTGTGTGTGTGTGTGTGTGTGTTTTGGGGGGGGGGGGGGGGGGTTTCCAAATTATATTATCAAACTACTTATTTAATTGAATAACTAAATAATTGTATTTTTTTTAGGAGTTAACTTAAAAATAAAAAAAAAATAAATAAATAAAAAAACTATTACTTTCAATTTTTGATCATAAACCCCCAACTTGTTTTAGAAAACTCCATACACTTTAAAAAGTAATCACATTGCCCAAATATTCGAGTCTGACCTATTAATCAGGCTGTGAAATGTTGAATTTAACCTTACTATTTTATATTAAATTAAAAGTATAATAATTATTTGTGATATTACAGAAATACCCCATCTTCTTCTTCATCTTCAATCCCTCCCTCTGAAACTTTTACCCTTATCCCTCTCTAAACCAAAACCAAAACCACCATCCAAACATCAACAAATCAAGGCATATTTCTTTGGGATAATTTCACTTACCTCCCCTAAGATTAGGCGTAATTACAGGCGGTACCCCTTATGTTTCAAATATTACACTGTCCTCCCTCAAGGTTTGCTCCGTCTTAACACTTAGCCCCTCTGGTGAAAGTTAACGCCGGTCAATGATGATTTTTTATGATATTAGCTATTTTTAACCCTGTAATACCACATTTGCCCTTACTTTTGTATTAAAATAACCTATCTACCAAAAAAAAAAAAAAAAAACTCTTCTAAAACCCAAATTTTTCATATTTTGACTGCTATCCGAATCAAGGAATGGACGGAGCAGGACATCAAAGAGGTCTTTAGGATGTGTGTGTCTGTGTGTGTATAGATATATATTATGATGTCCCAAACAGAGGTACACAAGGGATTGGTCGGGACGGCAAGCAAGGACAGACAGAACATCGGGCGGCAACAAACTATGAATAACCACTAAGGACGAGCAAGGATGTGCTCAATCAACGGCGAACAAGAAGAACGGCGATGACGCGGTGGCGGCAGTGTGGTAACGAACAACGAAAGTCGCTATTCCGGCGACGTCAGACGAGCAAGGATGTGCTCAGTCGACGGCGAGAAAGAACGGGAGTACTGCGGTGGCGACAGAGTGTGGCGACGAACAGCTACTGGAAGAGTCGCTATTCTAGCTGCGATAAGCACAGTGAATATTACTTTCAATTTTTGATCATAAACCCCCAACTTGTTTTAGAAAACTCCATACACTTTAAAAAGTAATCACATTGCCCAAATATTCGAGTCTGACCTATTAATCAGGCTGTGAAATGTTGAATTTAACCTTACTATTTTATATTAAATTAAAAGTATAATAATTATTTGTGATATTACAGAAATACCCCATCTTCTTCTTCATCTTCAATCCCTCCCTCTGAAACTTTTACCCTTATCCCTCTCTAAACCAAAACCAAAACCACCATCCAAACATCAACAAATCAAGGCATATTTCTTTGGGATAATTTCACTTACCTCCCCTAAGATTAGGCGTAATTACAGGCGGTACCCCTTATGTTTCAAATATTACACTGTCCTCCCTCAAGGTTTGCTCCGTCTTAACACTTAGCCCCTCTGGTGAAAGTTAACGCCGGTCAATGATGATTTTTTATGATATTAGCTATTTTTAACCCTGTAATACCACATTTGCCCTTACTTTTGTATTAAAATAACCTATCTACCAAAAAAAAAAAAAAAAACTCTTCTAAAACCCAAATTTTTCATATTTTGACTGCTATCCGAATCAAGGAATGGACGGAGCAGGACATCAAAGAGGTCTTTAGGATGTGTGTGTCTGTGTGTGTATAGATATATATTATGATGTCCCAAACAGAGGTACACAAGGGATTGGTCGGGACGGCAAGCAAGGACAGACAGAACATCGGGCGGCAACAAACTATGAATAACCACTAAGGACGAGCAAGGATGTGCTCAATCAACGGCGAACAAGAAGAACGGCGATGACGCGGTGGCGGCAGTGTGGTAACGAACAACGAAAGTCGCTATTCCGGCGACGTCAGACGAGCAAGGATGTGCTCAGTCGACGGCGAGAAAGAACGGGAGTACTGCGGTGGCGACAGAGTGTGGCGACGAACAGCTACTGGAAGAGTCGCTATTCTAGCTGCGATAAGCACAGTGGTTATTCCGATGATGGTGACAATAAGGACTGGGTCTGAATTGAACGATGGTGATGCTCTTATCGGTGCTTATCGGCTTGAGGTCTGATTGGTGTGCAAGCAGCTCGGAACAGCGTTCACAGACTCTTGTAGATGACGATGAATGAAGGATCTGCTGTCGGTGATCACAGGGGCTGTAGAAAGAGAAATCGAGCCTAGCGACACAAGATACCGACGATGAACTAGTGAGCTAAGCGGTGAAGCGGCGCTCTGATCTGGCGACGAAGTGAACTGAAATGGCGGCGGCGATGCACAATTTCAACAGCGAGACTGACCGGCGGTGAGCAAGGATGCCGGTGCTGAAGTTTGGTTGTTTAATTTTGTAATTGGGGGTAGCTTTTATCATTTTGCATTTTGATAATTTTTTATTTTATACAATAAGGTTATCTTAGTCATTTGACAAGAATGCCATCGGAATTTAACTCAGGTCACATTAAGGGGAAGTTTCTATAATTTTTGAAACGTAAGGGATATCGCTTGTAATTACACCTAACCTCAGGGGAGGTAAATGAAATTATCCCTATTTCTTTTTAGGGCACATAAAAATTTCACCAGAAGTACCTTCAATCAGCTCCAAATCCCAACCCTAAAAAAGATCATCAAGAATATAAATCAAACCCACACCTCATCTTTCCCCGGCGTCCTCCACGATGGCAGTGCCTCTTAATTCTCCCTTGCCGACTTCAAGCTCATTCTCAATCCCACCATCAACGACTATGATTCCGAAAATTTCAAGATCGTCGAACCTGGTCTTGATTATGTTCAGAAATTAAAGTTGTTGGCGAAACTGATCAAATCGATGTGTAATTGTAAAGATTTAGGCAACGATTTGCACCCTCACCACCTAAATTGTCGTTGTTGCGTCGTCAGAGTTGCAGCGACGAACGCCACGATGGAGGTCTGAACTGCAGCCATGGAATGAATAGGCAAAGCAGGATTGAACGACCAAGACACGAAACTTATTGGCGCGCGAATTGAACCGACAATGAAAAACGGATCGGTAGCAACGGAGTGCGAGCACAAACTATTATGATGAGGCCGTGTCAATGTCATAATTTCGGTGGAGAGGTTGTTGGTTAAGTTATGGAGATAGGTTATGTTTAGGTGCGATTGGTGCACGGTTTTTGCAACTGGGAATCGTGACATTGCCGCTTCGTCTTCCACCTCTTACCTTGCCGCTTCATCTCTCCAACTCCCTCAGCCGGAGACTCAGAAACAATGGAAGCATGAAAAGAGCTCAAGCGTCGCTAATGTTCCTAACCTCCCACGTCGTCACGATCTCCGTCTTCAAGTTCAATTCAAGTGTTGTGGTTGCCTTAGGCCTCTTCCTTGTTTTTGGATTTTGGTTAATTCGTTGTTCAAAGTAGAGGCCATCGTGAAATTGCCCTTCGTGCTGGCTCTCTAATCGTGCAGAAGATGAGCAGCAAAGGGAGGGGTTGAAGAGGAAGAAGAAGACCGGGTAATACTGTAATTTCATAAATTATTATTATATATTTTCTAATTTAATATTAAATGGCATAGTCAAATTCAATATTTCACAGCTCCGTTAATGGGTTGGAGTGGAATATTGAGAGAATGTGATTACTTTTATAAGTGTAGGGAAATTTTTTGAAATAAATTAAGAATTTATGATCAAAATTGAAATTAGTGGAATTTTTTTAAAATTAACCCTTCTTTTTAGTAACTACCGTTTACCCACGGAAGTTTCCAGAGCAGCTGCAGTTGAAACTCAGATAGTAGATATAGGAAGCTCCGACCAAGCGGCCTCGGCCCGACCGAAAGAAGTACGAGGCGGCACCCCCGGTCTTTCCTTCTTATTTAGAGGTTGCACTCGATCTCTTTCCATGTTGCCTCGGGCAGGAGCTCCATTTATAGCTGCTGAGAGGTTTAACAAGAGAATTCATGCGTGCATATATATAATATAAAGCAATCTTCTTCGATCTACTGCCTATATATAAATAAACACATATACGTATATAGGTGGAGTTGTCTTAGAATGGACCCATATGAGACCTTGATGGAGATTTCTCGTACGGGAAACCTTCCCCGTTTCTTTGAATTCTATTGTCATCCGGATTCATTTCTTTTGGACCACTATATTGATAGAAGATTGCTTATAGATACCCCTTTACATGAAGCTGCATCAATGGGTCACTCACACTTTGCCGCAGAAGTCTTGAGGTTGAAGCCCTCATATGCCTCGAAGTTGAACTACTCCGGCTTAAGTCCCATCCACGTTGCTCTGCGCAATGGGCATGATGAGGTGGTGGAAAGGTTGGTGGAGCATGATAGAAACACGGTCCGACACGATGCGGGAGAGGGCAGGACGGCTTTGCATTATGTGATTGCACAGCAAAATATAAATCTTTTGAGATCGTTTGAACTGTCTTGCCCAGACTCCATTGAAGATAAAACAATTAGACGAGAAACCGCACTACATATTGCTCTACAACACTACAATCCGATGATTTTTGAGAGGTTGGTGGGATGGCTAAAGCGTAGGAACAAGGAATACATCTTAAACAAGGCCGACATAGATGGCAACACGGTCTTGCATATGGCAACATCCAACAATCAAACCGAGGCAAGTCGATCTCTTGTATAACAACATATATCATTATTATTATTATTATTATCAGAATTAGAATTGATTGCTTATTAATTAATTAATTAATAGATACCTTGATATATCTGATACACCGTGCAGGCTGTGGAATTGTTGTTAAGCAAAGAATTTAATAGAAAGATGGAGATAAATGCCAAGAACAAGAAGAACAAAACAGCTTTGGACATTGCCATTGATTTGGAAAGCCGTGTGATTGAGGCTAAGCTACGCCGAGCTAAAGCATTGAGAGGAGCCTCCATTAGCCATGATCCCCTTGAAGGAATACCGACGATGGCACAAGAAGAAGAAGAAGAAAAGAAGCTGAAGGATGCTACACTATTAGCAGGAATGACGTTCCAAGCTATGATGAACCCTCCTGTTGGAATAGGAGGGAAAGATGATGCGAAGGAGGGAATGTCGTTTCCTGAAGGAGCAAATGTTGCAGGGACGGCATCAACATTGAAACCGGGACTCTTCTTTGTTTTCTATTTGGTCAATAGTGTGATCTTTTATACCTCCTTGCACACAATCCAGCTCTACGACAGAAACCCATCAAACATATCCATACACTTCTTCCGTAGCCTCTACTGTGTGTGTGTGTGCCGATTTGCCGGCCCCAACTTATCCCTCACCTCGCTTCCTCAAAATCTCAGTTTGGTTACTCAATTGTTGTTTTTTGTGCTTTCATTTTCAGATACTGTTTTCAACAGACTGGAACACTTGGACTTGAAAGTTGTAGCATACATTATCCCCTTCGTTCCGCTTTTGATTGATTTTATGTTTACCCTTGTTGTCTAGGTTCCCGTAACTTCAGTTCTGTATTCAAATAAAATGTTAATGTTGGTGCCGCGTTTACGTTTGAGAAAAAAATTAGGGAATTTTTACTTCTATTAATGAGGTACAACTCTTCTTAAGCTAGGGCAGGTTGGAGTGTGTGTGTGTGTGTATATATATATATATATATATATATATATATATATATATTGTTTTCTTTTCAAAATTTATATTTTTTAAAAAAATTATTTTCTTATATTCTTATCTCTCATAAAGCTTAAATTGGACACGGTATAATCACACATTCCACCGCCTATATGAATATATGATACTGGCCAAGGGTTTTCATATTTCAAGATCTTGAAAAACCGATTTAATTGTAATAGTCTATTCTACCACATAATATGATAGTTCGCTTTAAACTCAAGTCCCTACAGTTTGTTCTTGGATTTTATTCCAAATAACTCATATCATTTTGAGATAGCCCACTAGTACATATAAATACTTTAACTTCATCTTACTTAAACTGTCTGAGATTGTATAATTTGTAACAAGACCAGTGTCTTTCTGAAAAATTTTAATTAATTTTTTATAAAAAAATTGTATTGATTAATAAATTTATATATATAATGCAAAATAAATTAAACTTTACTGAATTGAATTATCTAACAAATTCTACATAAATGTATCTCGCAAAACTCTAGAGATTAGGTCACACAATGTTCTAACTAATCTCACACTTAATTTTAAACCTTCCACCTTTTTTATTCTATGCTATCGTAACCTAATTGTATGATTGGTTGGAGGGAATGATTGAGAATGGATGGATGAGAGAGCGGGATTGAAAATTTTTCATGTTTGGTTGGAAGAAAGGGAAGAGTGAAGGAAACAAGGGATGATTGTTTTATGTTTTTCTACCCACCCAAAATTGGGTGAATTAAGAGATGAGAGATAAAAGTTAACTACCAACAAATATATTTTTCATTTTTAACCTTCTAAAAAAAATTGAAATAAATATTTACTTATTATAATTTAAATTTAAATTTAAACTATATATATTTTTTTAATTTCAAATTCAAAATGTTGATTAGCACTCCCAGTCATCCAAATCACAATGTCACAATTTTCTTGTTCACTCTACCCAAGTAATATTTTATATGTAGCCCGTTTAAATTGAAACCATTTTAATATTTTAATGGTGTAACTTTACATTTTCTTCTACTCTTTTTCAATTTCTTGGCCAAATTGTAAGTCTGTGTTACCAACAAATAATCTAGGTGTTAACTAATATCCGTGGACTTTATAATTATATCAGTATATTTTATTTTTTCTTATCCTTTTGAAATAGTTTATTCATTGTAAAATATATTTTTTAATTTAATAATTAAATAAGAAGAATTTATGGCTCTTCTCAGGAAAGAGAGAGAGTCCTAGAAACATTACCCTTCTAAAAATGAAATTGGAAAAAAAGCCATGGATCCATAGCAATCCCAATTCACCGTACTTTTTGAGTAAAAGTTGTCGAGGTCCTTGGGATGAATCGACAACCAAAATCCAAGTTACCATGGAGCTACTTACCACACTTTTATTAAATTATATTACTTTTTACATATAAATTAAGTTACATTAATAAATACGGAACTTAAATGGTAATATAAGATCTCACTTCAAATGAAAAGAATTAATGGAACAAAATTTTACTGTTCATATTTGTAAAAACAACTAAAATGTGCAAGGGAGGTGATTCCAGTACTTTTCATTACACCACTCATTAGAAGTACTGGTCCTACTGGAATTCTTCTGATAAAAATTCATAATTCAATAAAAAAGGGAAAAAAAAAAAAAATGAAGTGAAATGAGGGAAAAAAAAATGGTGACCAATTTATTTAAGATTGTGGAAGGGTTAGTCTTCTGGTATTTATTTTAACGTTGGAGGTGAGGGTTCGAGTCTTCTCAATGACAAATGAGTGTGTGAGTTTTTTGAAATAAATAATAAATAAATAAATAATGAAAAACATTCTTTGACATGAATGATAAAATCCTTAAAGTCCCTCAGATTAATTGCATTAAAAATGGTGTATATGTAAATAATACATAATGTAAGAGCAACATTAATAAAAAATTTAAAGCAACTAATTAACCAAACCATGATTAATAGTTAATTACAAAGAGGAAACATCTTCAAAGATAATGAAAATAGGTAATTAGCAAAACTTATGGCATTCTTTGTATTTCAATAGGTAAATTGAGATTAATAACTCAAAATAAAAGAATGAGAGTGTGTAAAATTAAAGTTTAATACGGAGTAACTTTTAATATGCTATGAATATATATTACTTAATACAATAATACGATATTCACATATTATCTAAAATGTTTTTAACATTATTTATTCTTCTTCTCTTTTGACTAGTTTGTTGTATCCAGTACTGTAGCAATGATTGTACTCTACGCTAAAAAAAATACTCCTCTGTTCCACAAAAGTTGTCACTTTTTAGAGGATTAATTCTTAATATATTTTATTATTGTGATAATAAATAAAATTTCATATTTACCCTTTAAAATTTTGTCTTCAATTAGTGGATTGACTGGTTTGACCATTTCATTAACATAGACTTCTTAAATGTTGGAGTCACTCGACTGGAAATTGTTTGTTACTTCATACTTTGTTTATTTTATAATTCATGAATGTTATGTTGCTAGCTTTTTATAATGGGTTTACATGTAGTTTAATTATTTTTAGAAATTTAAACTAAGGATAAATTAGAAATATTAAAAAAAAAATAGTATTGTGAATTGTGAAATATGATATTTATTTAAAAAAAAAAGAAGAAGAAGAAGAAGAAGAAGAAGAAAGAAGACAAGACATCTTGTTTTAAAATAGAGGGAGTATAAATATAATTGCACTCGACACATCACCACAGAACAATAAGTGTGTACCCTTGATTAGTACTTTTCAACTTTTATGGTGACAATGGACGACCAAACATGTGAAAAGTAGTGTAGTACCTTAAGAGTGGGCCCTAGCTAAATTAGAAAGAGGATCATGAAACTTTACGTCAATTCAATAATTTTCTTACACTGAAATGGTCCCCCATCCCTACCAATTGATGAATGAATAGGACAATTCGGACAAAGGAGGTTCAACAAGTCCAGATTGTCAGCCGTGAACAGTAAAATTATGACATGGTAGGGACAATCCGAGTAAATAAGCCTTTTTAAAATCTCGACTCCAAGTCAAGGCCAAGAGTCCCCAAGTAGATAAACAAATTAAGAATTATGAGATGAAAATATAATATGTTTAGTTTATAGTATATGTCAAGGAATTAAGACTTATAAGATGATAATATCAGGTCCCATTCCGCCAAACCCAAAGAAAATTCGTACTAGGACCTACTTGAAAAGGCAGAAAAAGTAATGGTCTAAGTTAACAGACGTCCACAACCTCAACTTTCAAAAAAGTAGCGAAAAATAAATAAATAAACTTTCAAAAAAGTACCCAGTAGTCGGTCTTCACGCGTAGTTTATTTATTTAAAGGCCATATCCAAGATAATTGAGTGCTTAAGAAAAATACATATTGCTTAGGTAAATGGGTAACTTGAAGAATTTCTTTCATGTAGTTTCTGTTTGTAGGTGCAAAATTTCGCTCAATTAATAATGATTGAGAAAAATAAAACAACTCATTCAAAAAGTAATAAAAATAAATAAGAATAATGTATAAAGAAGCGTAGAATTGTTTGATCCTTTTATTGGAGGCCTGGGTCTCTATTTATACACAAAATAGTGATTGAATTATGGTAGGATTCGCATTAGTTGTCTTCCAATTCTTTCCATATAAAAATTCTTTACAAATAGAGTTCTTTCCTTTGTATAATTTTCTTTATATAGCAGTTTCTTTCTTTGCTGTATCCTTCTTCTGACAGGACTAATCTTCTTTTAATGGATTTGGGCCGTACATAACCTGGTCCATGTGACTTCGCTGGCGAGCTGGATCTCTTGGTTCGGGCTTGAGCGATGCTAGAGATTAGACAGCTGCGATCTTAGGCTAGCGACTAAGATTTTGGGCTAACACCAGGCTTGGTCTGGGCTTTGAGCAAGATGGGCTTCTGAAATTTGTGACAGATACTAATATGCTATGATGATGTGTACAATTGTCATTGGAGGGAAATTTTTCCCTCCACACTTTGCCCTCCATTCCCTCTTTAATTGGATTATGACTCCTATTAAAAAGGGAATTGAAGTTGCACGGTTATCTATTTTGCCAAAAGAAGGTTCGAAGATTGCCCATTGCCACTCTACTTTGAGAGGTTCCATAAGAGTTACTTCTGTTCTCACTGCGTTTCTTGAGTTCTTCATTCCGTCATCTCATCAGGTTAGTTCTTCATCTTTTCGATCTTGCATCATGAGCACTTCGACTACTCCTGAACACATAGAAATCGTGGATTCTGAATCCACGCCCTCATCGTCCCCTACAATTATTAGGGTTCCTCGCCCTTAGGGTTCCCAATCTTACTGGTTCTGCAAAGAATCTGACCAATCAATCAAACATCCCTCTGGAAAATGTTAATCTTTTGAGATTGTTTTTGGTGATATGATCATGTTTTTCTTTGAGGGGATCATGGTTAACAGATATTCCTCTTAATGCTTTAGCTCCGCATAGCATATTCCCGATCTCTTTATTGTCTAATTCCTTTGGAAGTACTTGAAAGATGTCCAAAGCTGTTAAGCCCATGTTGTTCTTGGCATTGACATTTATCTTTTTAATCACTTTTTCGCTCAACAACACTTTTACTGCCTATAAGGTAGACAAGAGACAGCGTTAATTAATCATGAAATAAACATGGAGAAGATTATATTGGCTCTCAAATCATTGTACAATAGGAAAAAAAGAATTGCTTGTATATATATATTTAATTTGGATGACAAACTTGCCTGGATTTGATTTTTTGATGTTGCCATATGCAAGAGAGTGTTGCCATCCTCGTCAGCCCAATTCAAGATGTCTTCCTTCTCAACCCTTTTTCGCCATTCCA